GAAACGTACGGCTTCATCACATTTCGCAGCAAGTTAGGGCAAACACTGATTACAAAATCGTTTTTCTGCAAGGAAGAACAAACTTGAATCAATCTCACCAATGAATCTCAAGCTTTTATGAAGATTGGGGAATGTTTACCAACTGGAGAAAATTCTGTTGTTTTTCAGAAAAGCATACGATCTTAAATCTTCCTATCAGCTTCTCGAAAATCGCACTGTTATTCGCATCATTCTTCCTTTGGCGATCTTCCAAACCCTATTCTATATTTCGTTTGCGATTAGCGGCGCAGTCGTTTCGCTGTTACACCGAGATTTGGAGAAGGTTCTGTATGTGACGCTGACTTCTTTTACCTATGTGAGTTTGTGCTTCACATACATGCGTTATCGGTTCAAATGCAGACGTCAGAATATATCGGTCGTTAGAACGACTGAACGCAACGTATAGCTGCCAAAAGGAGATTCAGCACAGGAACACAATCAGGAGAGACGGCATAAAAGCTTTAGAACAGGGTCAATGTAATCTCCTTGGGGAGGCTTGTCGGCTGACATGCTCAAGGTGAATACTTTTTTGCATCTCAGCCAGAGCAGATAGGTCTGGCGTGAATCAACTAACGGCGCGGACTGTAAAAGAATTCAACCCTGCGAGTGGGTAATGTGGGGCCGCTACGGTCGCAACAAATTGCTGCGCATGCACCCTCAAAACTAGCCTCCGTTTGAGACATGATTTTCCAGGTTCGGTCTCCGCTTTGTTTTGCCCTTTTGTCTATCATTGGGAATAAATGGTTTCAAAACAAAATGCAGGACGTAGAATGTGAACTCAGTGGCAGCAACTTCTACTGTTTTTGAGTACCGGAGAAGGAATCTCATGATGGTCAAGACGAAATTAATTTTTCGGTACTTTCAGTCAATCCCGTACTACACGTTGATGTCTCCGGTCCTAATATGGCTTGCTATACGATGGTCACGACAGTTGAAGGAGACGAAGCTTAAAGCGCTCACCAAGCAGAACACGAACGATAACGATGTTTATTTCCAATCTTATAGAGAGGCCTGGAATAAACCGCGAGTGAAGCGATGAGAAATAGGCGATGAGCGCAATATCGCTACGCATCAATTGCTTTAAGCGTGTACATTTGTGTTTACAAAATAATCGATGTTTGAACGACTAGCTCCATACTGCTGTAATTACTGTTTTTCATGGCTCAATTCTACTCTCAAAAGCTGGTTATTTCCAAGTGATTTTGATATTCGAAGTAATCGATTTTTTACTTCCTCTGATAAATGTTACATCCCTGCCTCATCTTGATTCCGACAAAGCTGATTCAAGAAGCTTTGTTGTTGACAACAAGCTCATCATTTTGTGAAGAAACGCGCTCATGGATCATTCGCACAATTTGGGACAATCAGTCTACTTTTTCAGAAGAAATTAAGTGTTCAGATGTGGGAGATTGAATTAGCGCAGGAATTTTCTTGGGAATTCAGCTGTTACCCGTTAGAAGCAGACACGCGTTCAGATAGGAATAAATTAAGAATGTTTAAGTTAGCGATGTTAAATAGATTAAACAGCGCTACAGACGGAACGCTTCTTTAAATTCAGCAGCGTACCCTTTGTAATCTGATTTCAACATTTCTTAGCGACTGTGCAGAGCGGACAAAAACCATAGTAACAAGGGCGTCCTCGAACAAACTTGATTCTAATGGATGCAAATGGTTCACAAGACTTCGGGGAGTAACTCTATACGCTACATTATGAACCGCTCGCAAGCAAAGCGATGGCTTCGCAAGAAAGTGTATAGAACTTTTCGGAATTTACGAGATGATACAAGTTGCAATCAAATTCGAATCCCATTTGTAATCCTATATGTGACTTCGCATAATATAATTATAACGATCGGCTGCTCTAAGAATCGTCGATACATATGTACATGGAGTGGAAGAAAGAACTACGACAAGCTGTACATTAGCTATCTAAGGAACACACAAATTGCGATTCCGTGGTGGGGTCGCTCATTTATCCACACGGACAGCGGCCACTGCAATAGTTAACAATGTGCTTTGTTCGATTACCATAAACAAGTTCTTATTGTTTATTTGTGTCTTTACAGCTACATCGGTTTTCCCTCCATATCTTGTTACCCCCATTTTCTCCCGCCCTTATACCGTCGAACCCAGGATTGTGGCTGAATAAATCAGTTATCCTCAACAGGTAGAGCTAAGAAGCATTCGTGCTTGGTCCCGTCACTATTGAAGGGAAGCGAAGCGCACCATGTGGTCCTACTACGAAGGATACCATGGTCTCATTCCCAACGTTTGTCTTCTGCCTGATCGTCAAAACAAGTCATCCATAACTGTCGCAGTGCGTGTCAACGCTGCCATTGTCGTCCCATTTCGTAAGAACTCGACTGCGACTCTATTTCAATTGGTATTTGTCTATATCGCATACTCATGCTAACACTCACAGCAATGGTTGTCCTTCATGTCCTCATATGGTCGTATGTGCGTTTATTGTTGCGTTTATTTGTTCGACTTGTAATCATTGAATATTTTGTTCAAGGTTACTTATACAATTCTTTAGGAAAAAGGGAATTATAAAAGAATTTAGTTGGCATCTTGTGTTTTAGATATGAAGAGCACACTATCTCTATAAGCTAATGAATATATCGAACGGGTGAATATATGTACATCGTAGTGTTCTTCAGGGAAAGGTCTACCATACAACATGCATAAATCCTTACGCTTCATCGTTAGTTCTCCCTCGCTTTTTTTCGGCACAGTTTCCTCTGACGATGAGTGTGACCCTCGCATGGTCAGATAAGATTGTCACAGGGGACACGCGCCGCAGTGCTATGTACCACAATGTGACGACATGGCCACCCACAATGCCCTCCTGGCCCAGTTGTGCTGCGATTAAGCTCCAATTAAATTTATGCGCAGTTCTCAGTCGGCATAATTAGAAGGAGTAGTAGGTATAGTAGTTTAGAAAGACTGTTGTGTTGCAAAATGGTTGTGAAAATCATGCCAAAAAAATTTCTGTGGACAGAAACTTCTTAGAAACATATTTATCGTGAAATTAGAAAATTGATATTGTGGCTGCGCCGAATGGGAAATGTTAGAGAAACCTCCCTTATCCATTATCATCCATTATCCATCTCCCGTTCTCACAAGAAAACGGAAGTAAGATGCAGAATGATAGATGCTGTAAATGGAGACTAGATGGTGGAATGTCGGAATGTTTCGTGGTTATACCATCGCACAGAGCATTACCTTTTGTCACGTACTTACTTTTGAACGGACCGCCGAAAAAATAGATTGATAGACGGCGTGATAGAAATATTGATGATTAAGGGAGTGCAATACGCCAGTGAGGGGTGTGTACCCACTTGCATCAAGAATAATGGTACCTGAAGGAGTCCATCGCGCAAAGAGAGTTAACACGGGCTTCAGCGGATAAGTCGGCCGTTGTGCAGGTAAGCGAAGAGTTTAGTGAAATTGCAAGCGATGTTGAACTGTAGCAGCTCATCATTTGCGCAATACGCGCTGTGACTCGTTCGCTGACCAGTATCTATCTGTGCCTTGTCGCCGCGTACCTCAACTAAAGAAGGACGAGCTGCTAGGGCACAAGCGTTCGCCAAAGCACAAGAGCATAAATTCCGTTTGACTTATACAATTTCGTTTGCTGCTACTTGCGAGAGGTTTTTTTTATTCAGCCTTGTCGACAGTTTCTCCAATTTTTCTCATTGCTGGCATTACTCCCAATAATAGTTCAGAGTTTTCGAAGTGTGCCGCCCACGCTCACAAGGCTTGCTACTATGTAGATAATATACCTTGAATAGAAAGAATGCCTTTTCAGAAGGCTTCGACTGTTGTAATTGATTTTTTTGGGTGGGGGGTGGGGGGGGGGGTGTGACCACTTATCGATCCGAGCAGCGTGGGTGCGAGCGGTTGTGATCCGTTATCCAGTTTTGTTTTTGACTTCCACTACCACCTTCTGCAGGAGCAAATCGTTTATTCGAACATATACCTCATAAGTATCACTGTGGAAAGAAACGTAAGTTGCTTTATGGAAGCAAGCCTCGGCACTATCATACTTTTTATCAAACAGTTTAGTTTTCTTCTAATAATTGAATCCAAGGCATGTCAGCTCCAGTCTTTTCGCAGCATTATGAAGTGAATATCGGCATGCTTCTCCTGTTCCACATGTATCTCTTTGCCCAGTGTTGATTTGATGCTCACGAAGAATGGCAGGTACCTGTGCTGAGCACCTAAATAAGATCGCTAGACCACCAAAAGGCTCTCAATTTGGTTTGAATTAGGGCTTAACGTTGTGCTTCCTTGACACCGGACTGTAGGCAAAATAAGTCCTAGTTGGTGATCCAATGCATAGCAAAGCGAAAGTAGTCACCCGATTCGTTCCCACTAAGGCTCACCTTTTTGTAGTTTATCTGTACTATAAATTGCCTGAGGCTTTCGCCGCCTATGCATCGACTTTCATTGTTTTCACGAGAATGAGGTTTTTTTTGACCCAATCAAAAGTAGACATAACATCTCCTATTCAAACCATTCAAAGCACAAGATTTGACATTTGACTATTAGGTCCCTTACTCACCTTGTGTTTTAAACGTTTCAGCTCAATTTGCCATCTTTCGTTATGCAAATAGACAACCACAGGAACCACAAATCCATACCTGGAAAACTATTGAAACTACTACTGACTACTGTATCGACCAATTCTACTCAAACTTGCTCTGCGCCGTTTTAGCATGGCCCTCTGGAACGCAAAACAGAGAGGTGCGAAAGACCTCCAGTGAAAGCGAAGGGCACCTTTGAAAACACTAAACGTGATGGCGTCCTTTTTGATCTGAGAGCTTGGTCAGCCGCGAATCTTACTAGAAATCATAGAGAATAGGGACCAGTGGTGCGCAGAGAGGTGATGTAGGCGTATATGGGCACAAGTCAGAAGGCATAAGGATATCACCATCTACGACAGCGTGACGCACACGCACGTCTTGCGGATGGAACTTGCTTCGCTTAATTGTTTGGCTCAAGGCTGCTCCAGTTTTCATGCTCAAAGTTGCCTGGCTACAATGTTCAATTCAGAGAACGTTACATATGCTTATTGCCAATGATGGACTTATTAAAGAGGTGAATTAGAACGGAAATCATGGTTTTAAGGACATGAGAAAAATTTTGAAGCCAAGACAAGGCAAGCTGTTGTGAAGGTGTCAAACAACGAAGGATTTTTCTATCAGCAACTGGATTCGGAAAGGTAGTAGCCCAGTGACGTGACCCACCAGATTCCTCGGCCCGGCAAAAGAGTTGAATTGACTCACACCACTATAGAGTAGTTAAAACGTCATTACGGCTATATTTCTATAGAATATAGAAGTAACAAAATTGTCGAGAATAAGTGACACAGAGGCGATCATATTTAGAAATCCCACCCAGAGCACGGTACTGTTGAAAAACTGAAATGAGCAATATTCTTCAACGAAAAACAACATCGCAAGGAAACCGAGCTGGGACAAACACTTTGCCTCGGCAGGAGCTCGAACCTAGATGAGATGTTATAATTCAAATCAGAACTATGGCTAACTATACTATACTACTATACAACTGGAAACTGTTCTACTGAGCTGAGGTGAAACATAGCCTTGAACTAGCTAGTACTGTTTAACTATGAACTTGGAAAGCACTAGTACATACGATTTATGGACGGCTGAGCTAGATGCTTTCCCATAATTCTTCGTATTGATAACGTCAGAATTGCAAACTCAAAAGAAGTAGCCAACAAAGCGAAATCAAAATCAAATAAAACTGTAAAAAGTATATGTCGAAAACACTTGATTACAAACCCGACATGCTCGAATATTTTCGGCAATTTGATAGCGTTCACCAAGAGAATAAGCCCGAACGGAATTGCCCGTTGGCTACTTCAGGCTTCCAAATAATAGCGCTCATTCAACTTGTAGTTCAATCTGTTCGCCTAAAAAATTTGAATTTCTTGTTGGAAACTACGGCTGACGATTGTCGCACTTCACAGTGACAGTGTCAGAATTCATTGATTGATTTACAATATTC